TTCCTAGCAGTGTTATATAATTGCCTAGTCTCAGAAGTCTCAAGTGTGGCAAACAAGTTCCAACATTTGTGTTTACGTCTGAGTAACTAACGAATCTCTCGATTTATCCAAGGAGGGCAGACCCTTTGGGACAGACCAAGGGATGAAAGGTTCAGTTACTTGGGCGTAAAGTTGCTTAAATTGGTTCCATGCGGCTTCTACTTGAGATTCTGGGTTGATGTACCAGTTTACCGAGTTAGCTGCTGAGACGATTGCGTTTATATCAGCTTTCCAAACGTTTGGTCGAGATGGAGTTTTGGTACTTGCTGCCGTTGCTGTGAACTTGAAAGTGAGCCCAGCATGGTCACTTCTTCCTAAAGGAGGAACACTAGGTCCAGACTTGAGGAGGAGTGCTGTGAGTTATGGCGCGTGGGCTTAATGATATGTTGGACTAGAGCTAACGATATACTAGATTCCAGCAGTTTATAATCAAAGGAGTTGACTGAGGATGGAGTTGTTAGGCTCGTCCAGTCAACTGTTGGGGCATTGAAGTCGCCAACTACGAGACTTCGACATTTCGAGGTCCAGGAGCCTAGCTTCTCTATCAGGAAGTCATCTGCACTGCAGTCAGGACTGCGGTACATAGCAATGAGGTCAATGTCTTGGCCTATGCATTTAAGTCCACAGCGTAGAAGTTCGCACGACTCACTTTCGTGGGCGAATGCTTCGATGCTACGCACGGTTAAGGATTTCTTGAGGTAGATGACTACGCCACCTCCTTTGCGGTTTAGTCGCTCCACCCTACGCACTTCGAAGTTTGGCAGGTTAACTTCGTTGTCAGTGATGTCGTGTGTGAGCCACGTCTCTGTGATAATAATTACATCCGGGTTTCCGGAGTCTGTCACGTTAACCAGCTCAGTCCGTTTATTTAACAGGCCGCGGGCGTTTGTGTAGCAAACTGTCAATTCAGTTTGGTGCTTCCCCGGCCTACCCACAGAGGTTTCAAGATCATTAAACTGCGAACTTGGAAAACCCGAAAAACCCTAATCTTAAGGTTCTTTTCACCGTTTCGGCGTCGTTCGCTTAATTCTAGCGCCGCAGACTGTCTTTTGACACGGTCTGCTAGGCCTAAGTCGGCGCGGACATATATGCCTGATCCTTTACGAATACGAGAGTTGCTTAGAATAGCATCCCTCTCTTCTTTAGAGTTTAGTACGACTTTGAGGAGACGTACAGGCTGACTTACTGTAGGGTCAGGCTTTTGGCCTATTCTATATACGCTATGTATAGTAATGCCTGATACTGTTTGTGGCAGTAACTTGTCTAAAAGGGGCTTAACCAAGTTAAGGTCATGCTCAAATCTAGTCTTGGGATCGGGGTCCAGTGACTCTTCCACTTCGTGGGGAATGAGCGACCTGTCAGAGAGATCAGGTTTGCTGGCCGTGGCTTTCTTGCTCTGCAGCGTGAATGTCTTTCTGTCCTTCGTGGGCAGTGTGGCCAATGTATTGTCCTTATCTCGCTTTTTGCGAAAGACTACGTTACGCCATTCATTGGCGTTCTCCTCACTAGTCGTAGCAGGATTTATCTGCCTGCTACTCACCGGTGTGGATGAGGCTTGTTCCGCTCGTCCCTGGGTGACTTGAGGCGCAGGTTTTCGACCCCTGGTACGCCTCTTCTTTGTAACAGTCTTTCCATTGCTGTCACTGGGCAGCTTATCCAGTATCGTGAGGGAAGCCTGGGTGTCTGGAATGTGGTGAGTGCTCTTCTGTGCTGAAGGGCACTCACTTATTGACAGAGACGCATCAGGGACATGTGCTGTTTTGTCGATGACGCTAGTCACGTCATCGCTGTCTGGGCAATAGTCGGTGTTCTCCTGTAGTGGAGGACGGTTGCAGTCCATGAGCTTTAAAGCCCCACTGAGAGTGGCAATGGCTTCTGCAATACGGAATTTGGTAGTACCACAACAGTCATTGCACAACCAGTTTGCTAGAGGTTTGCAGCAGGGTTTGTATGCTGCAGGAGATAGGCTTGTGCACATACTGTGAAACCATCTCTTGCAGTTATCACACCGCATTCCCTTTTGGAGGTTGAAGGTATCGACGTTCGCGAACTGTACGGAGTATACTAACGCAAGATTTTATACCAACAACTTCTATAGTGTTCGCTATTCGAGTACCAAAGATAAAGCTAAAGAACAGATTTAGTCGTTTAAAGTGCGTGATATATTTCGGGACCAAATCGCGGGTTGAATGCTTAGCTGGCTAATGACCGTGCACGCATGTGACACGACGGAGTACCAAATGGCGGGGATGCTTGACCGGAAGCCTTCAGCTAAACAAGTCGACTTAAACAGTGAGGGTCAGCATCCAATGTTGAGTGATGATTGCTGTGGTCAATAATTTTGGGGAATTATTTGCCGCTACACCCTCATCCAATGGGAATTGGCACATAACCCTTCCGCAGCGGATTTTTTGATTGGCATACTGTCTAGAGCGAACTGGCGAAGAAATTTAAATATAACTTTAAATGTATATATACCTTTATAAATCAGCGATAAAAACCAATGAATGCACAAAAAAACATATATAGCTATTATGTAATAAGACACAACTATAATTTAAATAGACTCAGATCTGAAAAGTAAACTAACTTTGATCAGAATAAACTGATTTAAAGTTAATCTGTAGACTTTTGGAGCGTATAACACAACAAAAGCCAAAACTAAACAAGAGCGTGTAAAATTCACTCCCTTTTTCAATTCAGAAAATAAATCTACTGGTATATCATTTATATCCTAAGCTGTGTAAGTATGTGTCGTCACTTATGCACCCGAATCGATAAAACGACTTCGGTAATCAAGCAGCTAAACGATGTTTGAAATAACCGCTACGTAGATGACTAACTGGCCAATCACAAGCGAGTAAATCCCTTGTTTATCTCACTCGCGGGCACACGAAGTTACGACAGTCGACAGGCTGCCTTTCGCGGTAAGTAAAGTGTGGGTGTTATAGGTCGCATTTTGAATATTCATTCTCTGTTTTCCCGGTTGTCATCATCATAGTTATTCGTGACATCTTTTGGAGCCTACTGAATATTTTTGATTGCACACTAGTCAGCAACTAGTGTATTGTGTCTAGTCCTATCTTCGGTGCAGACTGAATCCTCAGTCATGTTTGCAATGTGGCCACCATGCTACTGAAGGTCCAGCCTACTGAAGGTCCACATCGCCTTTCAAAACAGCCCTAACAATAAGTGTGACAAACCTACAGCTAAGGGTCATTGAAGTATGCTTTATACCCTAATACTCATTAAGATAACATATATTTGTGGTCAATGGGCTGTTAATTCCCCACAGTTATCCCAATACTCGAACAATTAATTATTTTTAATAACTGCGGTGCATTGTTTGAGTTGTGAATCGGTGGTTCAGCGGTAGGGTGCACGCTGGCCGACCGTGAACGTGGCCCGGGGTTCGAGTCGCAACCGGCGCACACCTTTACCTCCCTTAGCCGGTTACAATCCCGACGAAGAGGGAAGCTTGGGCGTGAGGCTAGCAACCCCACCTCGTGAAGAGAAAACCACTGCTACTGAAACTTCTAAGCACTAGCTTGAAGCCCTATGTTCCACTGGGAATGCAAGGGAATAGAACAAATTGTTTGCTCCAGTTTCCTCTGTGATAGTTTGTGAATTTACCGGATCTAGAACTGCGTCCGCCACAAACCATCGTGCTGTAAAGACGATGCTGTTTACCGTTCCAGCAGCTGTCAGCCTGACAACTCTGCACCAGCTAGTTATGCCTAATAGGTTTGATATTCGCTGGGTGCAGTGTTGTGTAGTTAAATCTTTACCTACAGCACGTGAACGTAATATCATTTGGGATTGCTGATAGATTACGTCCACGTGTATATGCGTGTCGACCAACTACGCCCAAGACTTGCTTGGTAGGCATGATTTTGACATATACGTGCAACTATCGCTACACCCATATTAGCTGATATTTCCCATAACTGGAGAAACTGAAATACACATATGTGGTGCGTGTAGATGAGTTGTAGGCTGTTGATTGTACAGTCCTTGGAGGTGGTCTGCCTAGCACCGCGTTTGTTCCTCATGTTCAGCAGTAAGGTCTCGTTTACCACTAATCACTAGCTTACATTTTATTGGACTCTGTGTGTGTGATTATGAGTTTGTGTGGTCACTTGTTTCTCCTCTGTCGCTCAGCTTTTACTTACATGAATTCGTTCTTTAACTTTTTTCGTTCTTTTCGAAAGATGAGACGTCGATCATCTTGTGGTTCATCAACTCGAAATGCTGTTAAAGTTAGAAGAAGCAGAAGATCTAATTTGGCTAGTGTGGAGTATTTTCCTCCTTCATTGAGGCTACGACCACAAACTAGTACGGCGACTACTACTACCACTACTGCTGCTACTACTACTACTACTACTACTACTACCACTACTGGTACCACCAGAAATTCCACGACGCCGAATAACACTATTTTGAATGAACGTCGTTACCGCCTGCGTAAAGTGATTCGACAGGTGTACACTTATGTATGTTTTAGTAATCGAGTAGACAAATGGAAACATGTACATGATTGTTTAACAAATAATGCCCGCCTGTTATCCGAACAGTTGTCTACGCCTACTGTGCGCTCGATGCCTGCCACCGATGATGGTCATAACGATATATCCTGTGGGTTAGAATCTTCTCCGATGGTTGCTAACAATATTGGTAATCCAGTCTCTCTGGCCGATCCGATCCGAATTCCACATGTCTTTGATCGTCGTAGTTCATACTGTATAGAAATCAACGGTGAAATTCATCATACGGGTGTTGTAATGATCCCTCATGTAGATCCACTACCGAGCTTTACTATGTGGTCAAAAGTACAGCAAAATTTCTCTGTAGAAGATGAAACAGAGTTGACTAACTTACCGTATATTGGAGAGGTGCAGGCTCGAGAGGATATGGATTTTTTTGAAGAGCTGTTGACCAATTATGGTGGTCGTTTGCATGGGAGCTTCCCATTTGAATTTGATGAATCTCTGCTTGTGCAGCTGGTTGACTTAACTAATACTGTTTGGTCAGAAATTATTTCGTATTGTGGTTTATCCATCGATGGAGAATCACCTGTGTCGGCGAAAGCTATTGAACATGCAAATGATGGGGAAGGCGAAACACAAGAGAATAATGACAATAATGTTGTCTGTGCTGGGTCAAGTCGGTCTCTGCGTGAATCTAATGATAAACGCCTAGTAATGAAGGGATTGAAACCAGATAAAAAGAAGGAAAGAGAATATGCAAGGCAAGAGGATGTGTTGATTCCTAAAGGGGGTCGTTTAACTCGTCGATCTGCACAAATTGAAATTAAGGATAGTATTGTTGTTCATGCTAGTGATAGCGATAATGAGGTAAGCAGGATTGTTCTACAGTGTCAGTTATTGTGCACTTGACTGTTTATTCGTCTGAGTTGAGACAAACTGGCTACACAAATGCATTCCTACAGGAAGCTGTGCTGCTGAGTATGTCATTTTTAACTTTGCACATTTATGCATATATTTCACATTTCATTCGACTACACAGTTTTCAGGCTCTGTTGCAAGATGACAGGTGTTAGTGTTTTACTGGTCAAGTTCAGGTAGATGAGGGTATTGTGTGGTTTAAATCACAATGGATTATGATTGAGTTGCATCGCTATGATAGATATTTAGTTGCCAGTCAATTGTCAGGAATCGCAAACAATAATAATAATAATAATGAAAATAATGATAATAGTGATGGGAACAGTTATGACAATGGCACTGACGAAAGATAGTTTAAGATGAGTCAAGAATAGTAATAAGAGATGGAATAAAATATTAATAATAATGCCGGTTGTTGGGCAACAGGTATTGCCTGTGTAGGTTCAAATTGATCACTATTTCCTTCTGTAGACAAGTACCGGGTTTATACCCTCTAATTGTACAAGCCCCTGCAAGTGCAAGCATCCTTCCGTTTGTTCGCCTTCCGACGACAGTGAATGATTCGATAGAGTCAATACCGTGTCCATAGTTTGAGATGCATCCTTCCGTACAACCTAACCATTTGTTTCCATAAACATACTCCATTTAATATGTACAGTTGGAAGTGTCGAGGATTAGCAATCAGTCTTTCCCAGATTGTTGAAGCACTGGTTTGGCGGTGTTAAGGAATACAAGCTTTGTGGCATTATAAGTTGCTCCAGTACCCTCATCAAGTCTTCGCTCAACTGCCACTTGTATATCAGCTCCCCTAAATGTGAGACTGATACATATACAGCTGCATTTCGAACTGTGTGGGTTGTTTTACGGGCTGCTATTTCTTTATCTTTAGAATACTTATTGCTGAATCCCTCAAGATATCCATTCGCAGGTAAAATATCCTTTAGGGTTATTCTTTCATATTGGATTGTACTGTGAGAAGAGATATTGCTTGCTGCATTGGACGATGTTTTGACTAGGTTCTTTTGATGCTGTATGGGAAGAAGGCTCTTAACGTGTATATCGTGTCCCGTGCGTACAGACCTTCTGAGTATGGGTCTTTCTATTATGCTCTCAGTCGTTTTCACCAGAGAAACACCTAAGAATGTAATGGCATCATCTCCCTCATGTTCTATTACGGAGTTAAGATCAGGATGACATGAGTTGGATTTCATCAATAAATTTCTTTTCCACCTCTGATTTACCTTCACAGGCAACAAAAGTAATCTACATATGTTAGATGTAATTGCGTCTGTTGTATGGTATGTGCATTCAGTGATCATTAATAGTACCATGTTCTGTAATTGCTTTATTCTAGGTGACTGTGAGTGGTGAAGAGGAGAATAAAAGTGAAGGGAATATGATAACAGTGAAAGAAGTGTTCCAAATTGGTGAATCGACTGCAGCAGACTTGAGTCTCAATCCACCCGAAGCGAAGCGTTTTAAAGATTGTGGAATCCCTTATGAAGTGTTTATTGTGAGTTGTCTGTTGATATCCTTTGCGATTGTCTTTAAAAGATTTTCCTAATAATTTTGATCCATTTGGTGTTAGGTGGTAGACCCGGACATCTAGGCTCCATGCTTGTTGGCACTCGTTGTCAATGCTGAAGAGACTACTGTCCGTTCGGAGATTCAAACTTGTGTCAACAAGTGCTGGAGTGACGAACGTTACCACTGAGCCATTCACGACGATTGACGTGTAGATCTGCAATGGATACATTGTCATGCGTGTAGGAAGTTATTTTTGTTGCTGCTGACTGAATTCTGTCAGTCAAGTGATCATCAAATTTGGTGAGGTGACTTGCCATCGCAGTGTACTTTGAATATTGGTGCTGGTTTGACCACGACTGCGGTTTGTTACCGAAAGCTATTGTTTCATCTTCCCTTTCTGAACGTTAGTTCTTTTCCATTGTAAACCGCTCAGTGTTTTTCACAAGCAATCGACATAATTGAGTCGAGTAGGGGCGCAATCGTGTCATTGAATCACCAACATTCTCTGTGATGAACTGGATGTGACCACTCGTAAGTTGGGAGGACACTCACGTTGTACATTTCATTACCAGTCGGCAACATCGAATAAATAGAAGCTGTGGATCATTGGTCTGGGCTCTTGACTACCAACCACTAGGTTACTGGTTCTAGTTCTGCCTATCTTCCCCTCGTGATTTGGACAGCTATGTAGTATATCACGACCCCACGCACGATAAGTTTAGCTCCATTGATAATTGCATGGGGTAAATACAAGTGGTTGTTGGGATCTGGTCTCTCTCCCACCCTCTATATATCTGTGTGTGTGTGTGTGGTTAAAATGACCGATTTCTTCAGGTTGTAATCAGAGCTACTCAGCCGTCTCGTAAAAGCCATATACTTATTGTTGTCGGTTTCAGTGACTTCCCGCCAACTTTCCTACATCGCTCTGTTTATTCTGTTATGCCTGTGCGTGTCTATATGTGTGTATTTTAGAATATGCAGGGCTGTTCTCAGTATCCAATTACTCTGTCTATCGATTCCCACGTCTTTGCCTGGTTACTAATATTTCCTTGGGTTTCCGAGTAGAGCATTGGGCTTCACCCTGTTCTCTGACTTGACATTGTTGTTGAAAATTCGTATGTTGTTCCTTGTGATGGGTGTTGTGGAGGTGCATATTGTTTTCTAAGTAATGAACACCCGTCTTGCTTTTGCGATCCTGGCAGACTTAATCATCCTTATCGAGGGCAACTGTAGTTGGAACGATGCTGCACATATAAGTAAGTGAAGGAGACGACTTTCTCCATATTTCTGCTATCTGTAGTGAATGATGCTTGTTGTTGTCATTGTTGTTGTTTGTTGTGTATCTTTATCACCTCTTTCCTCTCTATGTTCACCTGAAGTCATGTCTTCGCTACCTTTTTCTGCCAACTGGTTTTCAACTGGCTGGTTTTCACATGTAGATGTTTGAGTTTGTGTTTGACATTGAACATGAATCATGCTGAAAGTTCCAGTATTCCTTGCTTGATATGTCTGTTTTATTATTATCAGTATGGGATGACATATATGCATCCACTTCCGTCTATCGGATGAACACATCACTAATATTACAGTTGTTTTGAGTGCAGACAGTGTTTCATGGGTGGTTTTAAAAGTGTTTAACGGAGTTTTATACTACACAGCTGTGATATCTATTGTGATGCTTTGTTATACACACATACCCTAAGCTTAATCTGCTTCGATTACTTTTATCCTCACCAATTGTTTAACAAGACCTTAAGGTTAAAAGGTAGTACTACAGTCGTTGCAGTCTCAATGCTGTTGTATTTCTATAATGTTGAGTCACTTTTGTTTTTGTTTCTTCATAGGCGATAGCTGGAACATTCGGTTCTACAGATAATGCAAATAAACTTCAACAGAGGTATGTAGAAATGAAGGGACGTGCAAATAATTCTCAGGTATGTTTGATTAAACGACGGCCAATACCGCTTCGCACATGTTGATGTGTATGTGTGTGTGTGTATTTGTGAATACTTGTGAAATAGCATGACTATATTTTTTGTGAGGAGAGATATTGAATGCAAAGTCCTAGTCAGAGTTGGCGCTGAAAATGTCATCCAGTCTGATATTGGGGCGTCCACTGGGGATAGTGTCGAAGTTGTGTAACCGGAAAGCTGGAGGAGTGATTGGTGATTGGTGCAAGCACTGGACAGACTGTAAGTCAGTGGGTTTCTAGCTCAAGTTCCACCTTGTGTACATCAACCTGGTTAGCAGTACCGTTGACTTTCAGGCAGACAATACGCGCGGTACATGGGAGATTTGTTACGGATAATCATTTCAAAGACTGTAGTTGAGGTGGATTATTCTTTTGTTTTGATTTGGTTGTGTTCTCGAAGCTGATTGGTTTTTGCTATTGCGAGGTTTTCGTTATCCTTCTAGACCAAATCTTCAGCACAAGATTTGATGTGGAGTGAATTTATATAAATTCTCCATGAAGAAGGGAGTGTGTCAGTGGTTCGGTGGTGGAATGCTCGCCAGTAGTGCACGTGGTCTGGGCTTTGATGCCCGGTAGATGCAGTCCTTGAAAAATTCCAATACGCCAGTAGTAAGCCCGGTGAAGAGGAAAGGTTGGGCGTGAGGCCAGCAACCTGACAGTGTAAATTAGGAGTAGTGCTACTGCTACTGAAACTCCTAAGCTCAAAGCTCAAAGCCCTATGGTCGACTTGGAATGCGAAGGAATAAAATAATTTAGAAAAATGGAGATCGGAAGCTTCGCAAATAAATCAACCAGTCCAGAGAAGACAGTGAGATCGAAATGAACATTGGGGACGCGTTGTGATGGAACATGCTACTGATTAATTGATATGAGTAACTGGAAAACAATTCATACAATCCAGTAGTAGTGTGTGTTACCTAGCCAGATCCAAGTTATCACACCTGAGGTTCTCAGTGGTAACACGTCATTGAAGGCGACTGCTGGTAGGTACATCCGGCCGACGAGTCCCAAACAGGGCAAGACACGCCTCCCGGATTCCACTGCTAGTCACGATGGGTGCGAGAGTGACATGGAGAAGATCATGTGAAGCGGAGGAAATGGAAGCCTATGGGCAATTGTGGAACCAGTTAAATACAGACTGCAGAGAACAGAATGAATTAGAGTTGTGCTCCTGCTGAAGCCTTCCGGGGAGGGCAACCAATCCCTTTACTCAGAACAAAGCCGTCGTGAGAATAGTCGGAAGTCAAGAGGCACAAAATAAAGTGGAAACCTATTTTTGCGCATCATTGTTTGATTTATCTCTGTTCGAATATTCTGTATTTCCTTGAGCAGTGTTGGAGTACAGGGAGTGACAGGGTTTCGGTGTTTTTTTAAATATTATTTGTGGTTGGCCTGCTAAATTTGGGCCACTGATATCATATTTTGAAAATTCCATACTTGTACCAAAATACTGTGTGCAATCAAGCTATAATAAAATATCAAAAAAATATGTATATATAAATATCTGTTGTCCATAAATTTCGCTAATAATTTGTGTACGTGTGGTTTTGTGTCAATAAGATGTGTTCTTCCTCCTGTCGTAGTTAAATGAAGAAACGCTGACGTCCTGTCCAAATATAGATAATCCCTTTGAGGTGCACAAGGCTGTCACCAGTGGTCGACGCAAAGTCCTATCACGAGCTGATGCTTTACATTCATATAGGACATTATTTTGTCGTCGGTGTTTTAAGTACGACTGTTCTTTGCATCCGTATAAGTCCACTCCGTCGATGTGGAGTCATCGTTGGCCGATCGATACCACGAAAGATGCCGGTTAGTTAATTCAATTTTAACAGTGTCACTTGAATTGCTGCTCTGCTTCTGCCTAGCCGAGCTGTAAATGCATATTACCATTGACAATTTAAACAAATACGTATTTTCGGTAGTTTTTCATCAGGCTTTACAATAAGATAATAAAGTGTTCATCATAGATAGACATCTGAAGCCGATGTGGATTAATGGAATGAAAGTATCTATGAAGAGGACAGACAGAGAGAAATATCTGCAATCTGTGCAGAAGGAATGTTTATATTTGACTTTACTGTTCAAAGGAGATGTAGCTACTGAATTGTTGGCATTGACCGATTGTTTATCGCGACACTGTTTGAAGTTCACTACTCGCTGTATAACTCGATTGCAGGTGAAGGATAAGCTACCGAGTGTGACCACTTCAATGTGCATTTCTAGGTGTAACTGTCCTTGTGGAGACAGATACATAGGTAGAACGACTCGGAGAGCCCACCGTCGCCACCTTGAGTATTGTCAGACGTGGTTAGGAAAAGGAGTTGTTAAGTTAGTCAGGAGTTCCATATTGACACATCTAGAGCATACGGAGAATAAGATTGATAAAAAGCATTCAGCCTTTAGAATTCTTTACAAGGTGTCACCTGAATTCCCTAGGTTCGTACGCCTTCGATTGCTAAGCATAGCTGAGTCAGTCTCCATAGTGAGTTTTCATCCTAATCTTTGTGTTCAGAATAAGTATGTTCAATCTCTCTCCTTCCTGTGGTTTTCACCCCCAACCTAGAATAGTTGCGGGATATCTGTAAATATAATTTTAATTTGTACTGCTAACTAACTTTGTTATCTAATTATGTTGTGCTATTGTTGCATATCTTAGTCTTAGTTTTCCAATTTATTATTACTATTATTATTGATATGTTGTCTAATCGCTATGAGACAACTGTTATTTCCCCCTGTACCCCTACAAGTACGCACATTAACGACAATTGACTGCCCAGATTATATAAGCACTTGAATCAATTTATCCTTGTTTATATTATTATTTTTATTGTTGTGATCACCTCGATTGTTAACCCCCAATTCACATGCCTAAGTTTCAATTCTATTAACCTGATTATGTTCAAATGTGTATGATTGATGTTTTATTATGTAATTGTAAAGCCTGATAAGAAATTGCTGAGAATACATATTTACTCAAATTGCGTCCTACAATTGTCATCCTTGGGCTATTTAGGTTATTTACTGTTCAGTAGATTTACTATTACTTGTGAGATCGATTCCTTAGTTTAGCTTGCTTAGTAGGGCTTTTTCAGGTACATAGACACATACACACTGTGTAAGAATACTACTTACTGGAGTGATGTCTTGGTCGTAATTTACTATTGTTCATAATCATAACACCAAATGTAGCTCTACATTTCCTCGGGTTTTGTAATTCTCGCTCTTCCTTCGCATTATTTGTAGGGGTAATAGTAGAATTTTCTAGATGTCCGGATGGACGGCTGGTGTTGATTCATTCAGACATGATGATTGATTCTTATTGCATGTATGACTCGATAAATATGGCTTCAGTTATCGATATCTATCTGACTGTCATCTTCTGCCACCCTATGCTGTGGTGGTGTGTAACTATATACAGTGCTATGGTTGAGCTCCTTTCTAGATTTCGTATCTTGCGGTAGGTGAGACAGATAAAGCATTAGTGTTGCTTGACCGCATCACACCCCTGGGTCGACTGCTTGAAGTTGGCTACACACACATATGGCTTGTTTAAAGTTGTGTCCTTAAAAAGGTTTTAAGGGTGGCTGAGGATCGAGGCCAGGTAAGTCGGTATGTACAATTTTCAGGACGACCTTTTCTAAGCCACACCCCTCCACTGAAGATAGGAGAGACAGCATACCTGGCTTCCTGGTCATCTGGAGTAAACAGTCTACTCCTGTTACATACCCGTAATCGCCAGCAGTACGACTTCGCCCACAGACCACCAGCATAGTTTAGACGACTTAGACTAAGTGATGGTAACTGCCTTTGGTATATGTGCTATCGAAACGAGGTTTCTTGTATATAGTAGGGCCTGCAGGGAAATTAGTTCCATCTGGTCTATTTATTGCTCGTAGAGTCATTGTGATGTGCGATCCTGACCAGTTGTCAGTCATGATGTCTGTGTGAAACTAAGCCTATCCTAAACGTTAACCTTAACTCCAGACATTAGAAGTGGATAAGTTGGATCTGCGAGAAACTCTTGAAGCAAACCTTACACTGTGTTGATGACTAGTGTAAGATGATTGTTGTTGTTGTTTACTCGACTTCGTTTTGGTGGCTGGTTTAGTTTATCCTCACTCGTAGTATGTTACATCCTGATTTAGCAAGTTCTATTCCCGAATTGTTGATATTCTTTCGTAAGATTTCAGAGGTTCCATGTTCTCATTTGCATAGGTGGCACTAGTAGTGTTTTGAATTCCCTCTTCTTGGTGTATTGTCAGTATAGGTATGTCACCTATTGATGGTCGTATTTTGATAATCTCCCACATGCTTCCTGTCATAGATATACTTCTGTGTTATTTAGCTTGTTTTTCCCCATGATTTGAACATTTTTGCAATAAATCTTATGGAAAACAGAGTATCAGAGTTACCTAGCTACAAATTGGATGTGAATTTTGAGGAGAATGTGAGTATATGGTATGTTTATTAAAATATTTGTCAATAGATCTGTGTGGCTCATTGATGTAGGCTATCGACTACTAACCAATGGGTCACGGTTTGGAGTCGGCACTCCACCAACTGAGAGTGGTTTGGACAGCTGGGTGTTAGTGTCATTAGCCCTGACACATTGAAACTGGTGCCTATCGCTACAGTAAGCCATAATCTAAATAACACTGATAACTAATAATTGATTGTTGTGGTGAACATGCCTCCTGGGACTTGATTCACGTTTCCGTTCATTTCTTTCTTTCTTTCTTTTCCTTCTAGAAACAAACTCCCCGTATTGTGGTTCATGGTGTGTCCGTAAGTCGGTGAACCATACCGCTGGACAGGACTCAATGAATAATCATGATAATAATGATAATAGCAATGATGATAATAAAGGCGAAGCAATACGAGGAACTAGCAACGTGGAATGGAGTCCTGAAGAAAAATGTCTATATGAAGTATTAGCTCCATTGTTTATCCCCTACGGGCATCCATCTTTTAATTTGTACAACTGGTGTTGTAAAATGTCGAAATTACTTGGGACGAAGAAGTGTTCTGATGTAAGTTTTTCACGCTTTAGTGTTTTCTGTTAAGTGTGTGATCGCTTTTGAACGCTTGCTTTTATCTTTTGAAGTGTGCTGACGTCATAGTTGTGGTTGTTACTGACCTGTATCTACCCACTGAATCATAGGTACTTTGGCTATTGTGGTTTTGAATAGGCTGGTAATACCGGTTCCGTTGAATTGACAAATTTATTGAAATAGCTTATTTTCGAATGGAAATAGTCTGCAGAAGGATTGACGATTCTGTTCATTTCATATCAGTGTAGAGGCGATAACGAGGAACTACTCGGAATGAGAAATATTTCCTCGCTCAGTTTGTCGTCATTTCTATTGATTTTGTCACAATATTAGTTGACCGTCGAGTGACACTTGAATAATTGGGAAAGGCGAGTGGGGCGTTATCCCGAGTCGTCGGTGACATGGGGGTGGAGGGTGGAGATCCTACCAGGTGGAAATGAAAATTGTGAGCAGTTGTTGTACCAACTCGGATTGATATCTGAGAGCATAGTCCAAAGGAAGTGTTATGGTGAAAGACGGCTCCCTAAGTTTCACTAGGAACGCAACTAACGACTAACAATAATAGTAATAGTAATAATAATCACAATAACAATGTAACAGGTTTCTAGTGAATAGATCAAACTTTCAAATTTCATGGCTCTCATCGTTTATTTTCAACTGGTTAACCAGCGGACTGTTGTCCTGAAATACACCTGTGAATGAAAGTCTCATATAAACTGACTGCAAAGTCGTAATTTTATCCTTGTGTTGCCTCTTTTTCACACACATGTTGAATTATTACCGTTATTACTGATGCTGTTATTATTATTATTATTATTATTATTATTATTATTATTATTATTATTAATACGATGACGATGATGATGATTTAGGTGTTGGCATATACAAGTACACAGAATCTATCGACACTTCTACTCCCAGATGCTGGTCAGTTGAGTTCATTACGTATACCGGGTACTGGTGAAGTATGGGGTCGACGGTCAGGTAGTATAGCGTCGTTAAATGATAATGACTGCACCGGATCAGGATCATGTAGTGGAAGTGTTCATGATGATGGAGGATTTGGTGATGAGGTGTTTGTGGCGAATGAATCAAGTAGTTCTAATGTTTTAACAACAAATCTTCGTAAACGATCGAAAAAGCGTGTTAAAAAGAGCATGAAATTGGAATTGCCAACTCCTTGTGAAGGTAGGTGGTTGAACTCTTCTCTCATTTTTGTTTGTGGGCCGACTTCGATTGTTATATGATTGTTATATATACTTTTGCAAATAAATAGATTGTAAAGTCAATGTGTCATAGAACATTTCTCTGAGTGGAGAAGACGAAAGCATTCTAGTTGATTCATCACATCACATCACATCGCATGGTATCTCGAACCCCCATCCCATCGAATCTTTACAGTTGGCTCCGTATTCGTGTATTGCATGTAGCTGAGACTATTGGCATTTGAAGTATTAAGGTTAAACTATGCATTCAGACGAAATTCGTCTGGAAATTTTTCAAACGCGAACGTGACTTGCATGAAGTGTTTAGTTCGCATGGTTCCACTATCATAGATGCCACAGGAGTTGAAGTTAAATCGAATGAATGTTGGTTACCTTGGACTGTGTATTTCCTCTGATCACCTTTCCTAGTCTTCCCACATGATGTTAGTTTCCAGAAAGAAATTTCGTTTGACTTTCTTCTACGTGAGGAAGAAGTTCGGACGATCTGGTATCGTTCCGTCCCTACTTTCTAAATCTGTTAATTCTCGTAGTCTGTCTACCCTTTTTTACTGTCCTCATTAAAACTTTCTTGGGCTACTTAAGAAAGACTTTTTTGTAATGGTGTGAGGGGCACTAGAAGCCGTCAGTAGAGCCAGTGGGGTGTCGCTAAACCAACTCGTTAATACTATTGTGGATAGCTACATGAACTGTTGCAAGAAATTAGCAAATATTAGCAGCAAATGTCTTGTCAGACTCTGAGCATCTTCTCTATACACAGTTGTGTCCTTTCATCTCATTGGGGGTAGAACTAGAAGCAACTATAGAAGACTGTGTACTCGGACGACTAAGTAGACAAACTCTCCAATACCTTATTTAGCAGACATGTTATGTGATGATAAAGGTTTAAGGTAGGCGATAATCAGAAACTTATTGTGGAATTCTAAGTGAACGGCCCTATCTTTTTCATTGTTAAGTGGTTGTTAATATTTTCACTTAATTTGATATTCATTTTCTTATTGAACAGTGTTGTCGATGTAAATACCCTGTTTTGATTATTACTCCTGTAATGAGAAGGTTAGATGCAATACTGTACTACATACTGGAAATTTCCATATTTGTACGAAGAGTACTGTTTGGAATAAAGCTATTATTATTATTATTATTATTATTATTATTATTATCACTATCATTATTATTATTTTTATTGTTGTTATTGTTATATAGTTCATTTACTTGCCTGGATAGCATCAGTTTCTGTTGTGTCGTTGGAATTTGTTTGCTACTGCATCTGTGTGTCAGTGGTTGAGTAGTAGAATGCTTTCCAGTGATACTCACGTGGCCTGTGTTTTGTTCCTGGTCATCGAGGCACTTGAAAGCCTCGTCTAGTTGTTTACTACTACTGGTGAAGGTAGTGAGTCCGTAAAGGAGGAGAAATGGTTAGACGTGAGACTAGAAAGTGCACGCACCTTTTAAAAACAATAACACCACTTTCTATATTTCACTTGGAAGCAAAATGGAATGAAGGTGGAAAAGTAGAAATGCTGCATGTTATCTTTTGTTTTGTTGTTTTTTCCTTTCCCGTTATATACAGACGATGATGAAGACTCGCAAACGAATGGTTCTGTTCAAAACGGTTTGAGGAACACTACCACTAGTAATAATGATGGCAATGCCACCCTACCAAGTGGTTGTCTCGCGCATCAATATCATCCGTGTGATCATCCTGGAGAACGGTGTAATGATTTGTGTTCATGTAAGAAGGCTGGAACATTTTGTGAGAAATTTTGTCAATGTCCACCTGATTGTACGAATAGGTGAGTGGTTTTTTAACTGGGTTGCTGTTGTTGTTGTTGTTGTCAATTGTAAGCTGTTATTCTATGCTCTGTTCGATGATGATGATGCTTAGAGTTGCTGTTTGAGCCGCACATGATTTGCTTTTCCTGAATCCAGCTTGTCCCGGGGGTCAGAGTTCTCTATCGATAGCAGGTTTTATTCTCTCCAGGATGACACGACTCAATATTCCTCTTGGCGTGGACAAGAGCATGATTCGGTACCAGTTCTTGCAAAGGCCTAGGTTGCCCCTCTTAGGTTAGGTAGTTTGACGAGATAGCCTTTCTTCCAATCAGTAGGTGCCTTTCTTTGTTTCCGAACTTTGTGAACTAGTGATGTGAGCATATCCGCTGCTATCTGTGAGTGTGTTTTCTGTGGTTCCGGGTGAAATCTGTCTGGTCCCGCTGCCTTCGCAGCTAGCTTTCACTGTCGTTGGTGGATTGGTGTTCACTGGGAATTCTGTCCCCGCTTTTGGTGATATTCCTCGACAAATTGTAGGTGGTGGTGGTCAGCTAAGGAGTCGTTTGAAGTGATCGGCCGATTGTTTCGTTTTGTTCTTCCTCTTTGGCGATTGGCTTCCCTTGACCATCTTTCCGTGACTTCATTTGTGTTGACTTCCTCCCGGATGGAGACCTGGTTATCTGAAATAATGTTCTGAGATGTGCTTTACCAGAGGCTTGTTGTGTTTCAGTTGCCAGTGTGTCCTAGAATTGTCTTGTGTGGTCTGCAGCACTCTTGTTCACTTCTTTTGTCGGTGCGATGTAGACTGAGCTCAGCCTCTGCATCCTTGTCCATCTTTGCGTTGGGTTATGTTCTGCTTCACCATCCTCCTCTTCTCCATTAACTTCCAGGTGACCGTAGAGAGCCATTCGTTGTCCTGCCTGTTGTTTTTCTTCGAAATGACTTTACATGTGTCCTTAGACACCACTGTCACAGAGTTCCAACGATCTTCCACACAGGTTTCTTCAGTGGTGATGATGGTGGTGGTGCTACGTGATGTCTCGAACTCTGTTGTGGTGGCTGGAGTGGAGGTGTCAATTGTGGGTTCGCCCTTGAGTTTCTGATTGTTGAACTTGAATTGTGGCTTGTCTCTGGTTCTTTCCATGGTTCTCAACTTGACCTTGGAGCTTCCCTGCATTAGATGATAGTCTGAGCCCACATCCTCTCCCCGTTTCCGACTTCGTGTGCAGCAGGCTGCGTCTCCACTCTGTTGTAATTGAGATGGGGTCTGTCTGACTTATGGTGTGTCCATTAGGTTAGGTGAAGTCCATGTCGTTAGCTTTGTGTATGTCCTTGTGCTTGTACATGCGACCTCCAATCACGAAGTTGTCGAACACACGGAAGTTTAAGACGGGTTCTCCGTTGTCATTCATTTCACCGAGACCCTCTCCAGCGGTGATGTATTCTCGTCCTATGTTGTCTGCTTCCAGTTTCGTTTGCGTTCATATGGCCCATTAGGATTTTGTTGTCATCGTTTGGACTGTTATCCAATATTGTTTGCAGTTGTCTATCTAAATCTTCATTCTTCTTCACTGGGTCAGCATTGTTTGTAGGCGCATAGCACTGGATAATTGTAAGTTTGCTTCCTTTTGAGTTGAATCTTGCTGTCATTATTCCGGAGGTGATTGGTTCCCACTGCTGTTGGTGACATCATGATAGCCACCTTGTCAGTGTTTTTGTGCTTGTCGTGTGGGTGACCGGAGTAGATAACTGACACCCGAGTTGGTAGCCATTTGGAGAGTGGACCTCCATCCCAGCTGCTCTGACAGATTCCTAGTACTTCTGTGCCATGTCTTTTCATTTCTTTTGCATCCTGAGCTGCCTTTCTGGCTTGGAACATCGTGCGTTTATTTCACACTCCGTGCTTATTTTTTCTCTCGTGGAAAGAAGACACTTCGGCTGACTGTCTTCTTGAAGGCTTTTACAAACGGCGTCATCTTGTCTCTCCAGCTTCAGTGAGGAACAAGTTTCATAAGGTTTTCGTTGTTGTTGTTGTTTGAAGTTTCTTTAGCAAGTGAAGAATTGATTTCTCGAGATAGTGTCACTAGCCTGAGAGCCGACCTTCTCTCTGTTCCCGAGCTTAGGAGCGGTTATGGAACTAGAGAGCTAGTAAACTAGGCGAGGTTGTGTACGTGTGAACCCATTTTTTAATATTGTGCAAAGCAATATCACGAATACATGGTGCGGGTTAAAACCGATGCATTGCTTATTTCGTCGGTACCTACCTCATCAACTGTATACTGAAGCTAAGTGACAGAGGAAAGAAGTGAACACTTACAGTGAATGAGAGATGATATGATGGATTAGTGTTAGAAGACGAGTTAGCAAGGTGGAGAAATGCTCGCTACAGTTTCTTTTCCAATAGACAAATAATGTTTTAAATTTCATTATTTATATTGTATTCCAGCTGACAGGATATGTACGAGATAAAGGATGGATGAGTTTTATCCTGCATGACGTGTTTGTCAGTGATTTTTCCAAACTCATTATGATGAATTTGTGCATGAGATAGAAATATTGTGTTTGGCTTTTCACTTCAGGTTTCCAGGATGTCGTTGTCGTGGTCATTGTAACACGAAACTATGTCCTTGTTTTTTGGCTGTGAGAGAATGTGATCCAGACCTGTGTCTGTCATGTGGGGCACAGGCATCTTTGGGATCATTCACTTCAGTGGAGGAATTATTCAATGTCTTAAGAGTTAGTTCGCCAGTTTTTAAAGGACCATGTCGAAACGTGGCGATACAAAGAGGCTTACGGAAGCATCTGTTGATGGCACCATCTGATGTTTCTGGGTAAGAGTGTTAGTTTTGTTTGTGTTCTCTAATTTCTTGTTGTTGTTACTATTGTTGACCAACTCTCAGTCTTCGACTGAGAAATCCCTTAGCACTACTACACTTAGTTTACCACTGTGAATATGTTGTCTGCATACCGCCGCCGTATTTTGGGGTTGGGTGTGAACGTCTCAGTCACTAAGTTTTCCAATGTATCCACAAATGTACCTGTGACTGTGGGGGATATTGGTGATCCGTTGCCAGTACGCTCAGTTAGTTTGTACACTCGCCCTTGTAGCTGAAATGATGTAGAAGTCAGATATAGGTGGACTCCTAGTATGATACCTTCTAGTGGTACTTTTGTTGCAATTTGAAGTTTTAGATCCGATATGAGTCTGTTTCTGACCGAATCTGTGACCGTATTTATCGGTATTTGCGTGTATAAACTGATGATGTGGAAACTAACCATCTTTTCATCTTGCCTACGTAATTCTAACTAATCCAGTCTGTGTTTCAGTTCATAAGAATTGGGGAGTCTAGATTTTGAGTGGTTTCCAAATAGGATTTAATGCTGTAGGTAAATATTCAGACAAATGATAAGTAGGAGAATTTCTAAAATGAACTGTGAAGTTAGTGGGATATGCTGGCCTGCGAACTATAGAAATACCATATGCTGTACTGAGGTTGTTAGTTGTTGGCGTCAGTTGATAGTAACCAGAGAATATTGGAGAAGTTACATTACTGCATTTTATTTAAGTGAGATTCGCAGTTTGCAAATTACATGTATCACAAGTTCTGCCAAGTTGCTAGCCAGTCAGCCATCCAGCCAGCTAGAATTTCGGTGGTTTGAGGAGACTCCGATGTGTCTGTCTCCGAGCAAGGTCGGTACCAGGTACACTGTTGATGTGGTCGGGCCGGCTGATGAGAGGGATAAACGTCTTTCTGGTGTGTGATTAGATGGGTCACTTTGATCTAACTGACTACCTAGCTAGCTAGCTAACTAGTTAGCTGGCCAGCAAGCACTACTCATATCAGTAGTTTATGCAGCGTCATACTCAGTGTTCTTGTTTATTGTGTTTCTTACACATACATATTTTTGATAGTTGGGGCATATTTATCAAAGATGGTGCAGATAAGAACGAATTTATCTATGAATATTGTGGTGAGATCATTAGTCAAGACGAAGCTGATCGACGTGGTAAGTTCTCTTTGTGTATTATTCTTATTGTTATTACTAATCACTAATAAATCAATAAATAAGTGAATAAATAAATAAATAAGTCAGTAAATAAAAGTGGTAATTTGAAATAAGAGCAGGTTATTATGTTATTATTACTATTATTCCCCTGTCTTCGGGATGGAGCATAGAGTTTCAGTGACAGCATTACGTCATCCTCTTCAGTCTTTGTTTAGCTGACTCCACAATTGGTCCTTAGCTTTCATTCCTTCCGCCGTGCATGATTCCCTCGAATGCCGAGGCGTCTTTTCCCATTTGGGTCTGACTTGAGCGATGGTGTGATTGGCGCTCATTGCACGCTCTTCTGAGTGTGTATGTCCAGTCCATCCTCGTTTTCTTCTGCATATTTGTTGTCCAGTAGGTTGTTGGTTGGTTCGTTATCTTTCCTTTCTGATTGTCCATCTTATGTTTAGTGTCTGAACATAAAGAGAAGTCGATGGTGATTTATTTCTTGGTCGGGTGTGCGACCTTCTTACGGGTTTGGCAAAAAGCAACAATTAGAGACGTCGTTAACTTTAATTCGACCGCTGCTAACTCTTTTCTAATCTAATTGTATGTTAGCTAGCATTGCACGACAAGGAAGGCATTGATTCAGCATACATGGCATGTATCCTAGCCATGCGAATCCCTGCAGCTCCATAAGGTCATCGATTTATTTTCCATCCTCAGCTGACACCCGTACCTGGCGTCAGTAGTGTTACTCACCATGGTAGAATGCAAAGATTTAAGGGCAAAGATAGCTGGCTTATGACATGTCGTTCATTTGAAGAAGGCTTCATGAAGTTATGGTACCTCTAGTGTTACGCAGATGGTACTGATATAACAATGATAATAACATTTGTGATGTGTGGATTCGCGATGTAACGACGCCACAGCGATCCACGTTATTTGTTTTTTTCGAAGTGGTCAGCAACAACATTAGTAGTAGTAGTAGTAGTAGTAATAGTAGTAGCAGCAGCAGTAGTAGGACGCTGTTGATATCCATAGTAACTTTCGCCGCAGACAGCTTTTTCTTCGTTGATAAGGTCAATGTGGAAAAGTAACAAAATAACATTGGAGTAATTCAGCAGTGCATAATCGTCGTACCGATCGATGCTTTGTACTTTTAATACTGTGTTAATCTCCTTCATCTCTTAACAGGAAAGATTTATGATAAAACCATGAGCAGTTTCTTGTTCAATCTTAATCGTGATTTTGTCGTCGATGCAACGCGAAAGGGTAACAAGATCCGATTCGCCAATCATTCAGTTAATCCGAATTGTTATGGAAAGGTAAGTGTATGTGGGATACTCTTTCAGTCTTATGTTTTAGCTTTCCTCTCTTTCCTTTCCTTTTTATACAGTTTTATAGTGTATAGTTTTGCAGACGTTTTTGTCTTGGGTTCATCTCAGATGATCTATCGAAATCCTCCGTCCCACCCGAATGGCGGGTAGTGAGTGTATATTAGGTGCGTCTGTTGTTGTGTGGTGTTTCTTTGAGTCGTTGTTTGACTATGTATCTCATTCACTTGAAGAATAGATCGGGGGAAAGGAGAATCTGAGAACTTGATGGAGACGTCAGTTGCACACACACACACACAGGATGCCTAACATGGCTCTTGGTGTGTTTTCGCATCCATGATGTTTTCACTATCTGTGTATGGTGGTTCCAACCATGGGTGGTGAGCTGTTTCCTGGTGTAATTCAGTGTCTGCTTTCATACCTCATTATAAACGTTGGTAATCAAATGAAAGGGTGCGGTCGACAGTGAATATCTTTCTCTCTCTCTCTCCGTGAATGTGTGTGTGTGTGTGTGCGTGTGTGTGTAAAGAAAGCTTCGTGTACAATCTGTGCACATCTCCGTTGTGATACACTCCCCTCACTGTCGATGGGATCTTTGCCGCATATATGAAATTTACTGTCCACCACTCAATACACCAATGTTGTGTCACATTTCACTGAACAGTGGTCATTGGGTGATAGGTTTCCAGGTGACGTATTTCCATATTTTTGTGTCAGTCAGTGTTGTTTGTTGATACTCGAGAGTATTCAAATGAAAATTCTGGTATCTTCGAATGACTGGAGATTGCATCCTGCAAAAGTTATTTCATTAGAAGAAGTTGAGTCTTTCCCAGTAATAAATATTGTGTTTTCGAAAGCCTGAACAGTGAGTTGTTGATGTTTTGACAGAAGTGTCCTTCAAGATCTACTTATCCATGATATTCCAGTCATTATCCGTACTGCTTGATTCAAAAGTTTTGCTTGTTTACTCTAGAGTGAATTTCACCGTTGGGGAAGAATGAAGTGTCACTGAAATCAGCTGTGTTTCAAACAATAGCCGTCTGGAGAAAGTCAATTTTGTGAGGTGACATGTCACCGAATTTGTCATTACTTTCGATAATAATATTGGGTCTCAGAGAACGATATTGAGTGCAATAGGCTACTCGATTGAATAGCAGCAAATACGACTGTTCTCCCGAGATCGCCTTCTGCTGTTCTGAGCCCACAAAGAAAAACCGAAGACAAGGACAACAACAACAACGACTACAGCATTATTAGACAAGAAGTCCATCGTATATGTGTAGATATACTACTGGAAAGCTAGTGTGATTTGTTGTATTAAGCTCGGACATCATATACTTGCCAATGGAATTTGGTTGAAACTGCTGCACCCTTAATAGCCAGTGGTTTTTAACCGGTTCCAGCCTGTGGAATACAGTAACTTTGAGATTAAGCTAATTGTTTTGAGTACAGGAGGGAATATACATATGTATAAAATGTGCATTCACTTCGAGTGTTTCATGTGCCTGTGTGCCGAGATTGTTTATTTCACTCTTTCTTTCAACTAGTCTTTCTCGCCAGAAATTATTCTATCGTAGAGTGAATTTATTTGATAAAAGCACACAATGATACAGTGTTATTGACATTTGAACCACAATTTATTATTACTGCTCATAGATAGAGTTCTCCTTGTGGATTCCCTGACTTGAAAGTAAAATTTGATTCCCTGTCTTCTATTAGTGCATATGTGAAGGAACTGGTGATAGAATCAAAGTATAAGAAAGAAAGAAAGAAAGAATTGTATGAAGAAAGTTTGAAAGTTATGTGAGTGACTTGATGATATGATTATGAGGAGTGATGAATTCTGCTCGAAATGTCATATCATCATCAGTAAGTGAACAATACTGTATCAGTGTGTACTTTTATCGGATAAATTCATTCAATGATGAAATTAGACTCTGCCAGGAGAGTGAGTGAGTGCCCAGTGATTTTCATGTTATATCATAAATTGTGTTTTTTTCCTACAGGTGGTCATGGTGAACGGTGATCATCGAATCGGTATATTCGCAAAACGTGCTATTCTCCCTGGAGAAGAACTATTCTTCGACTATCGTTATGGTCCCATGGAACAGTTGAAATATGTTGGGATTGAAAGAGATACAGATGCTCCGAAAACTACTACTACTTCTACTGCTGCTACTAATACTACTACTGCTAGTAGTAGTAGTGAACTGTATTTGATGATATCTTGAGGATGCGGAGTATGTGAATGTTAAGGCAGACTATGTTGGCGTCAATTGAATGTCGAGTCGTGGGTGCATCCTGGTTATTGACGAGTCCCGAATTAGACGAGATGTGTATCCTGGGTTCTTTCACTGCTTGTCACTATCCAGCATATATATATATATTTATATATACATTAATCAGATGGTTGATTTGTGTCATCTTTCTTCCTTATTACAGTTTTCCATTTTACTAGTGAGTGCTTCAGTTTTACTGTTGTCTAGTTAAATAGTTTTAATCTGTCTTAACTAACCGCACCATCACATGGGAAATACCAGCGAGCCTCAGTGGGTTATTTCTATTACATCTGTTGAATATATTTCTGTGTATTATCGAAATTTACTATTATCATTTATCATTGTATTATTATTGTTGTTTGCATTTTCTATAGTTTTATAGTTACAGTGAGGTTTCTCCTCTCTTGTTCCACTTTCCAGGGTTGATTCCATGTTTAGTTTTTCGTGTGTACTTATTAACTGTGTGTGGTATTATGAGCTGCGTGAGCTGCTGTTACTGTTCAATAGATTCGGTCGTTGTTTCAACATGTTTAGAACTTTTTCTGCTTTATTTGTTTATCTATAAATAATATTATTATTCATTTTCTTTTTGTACATGTTAACATGGTAATTAAATTAATGTTATGCCTTATCGTAAATTTGTATTGTTATCATTTGATGCTGTGTATTTTAAAGACGAAAGTGATTTGAGTTAAAGAACTTTTGGAGGACTAGGGAGCACTGAACACTGAACAGTTGTTACTTCGTGTCCTGGTTTTGGACTGTTCAACAATGCGGATCTATTATGTTGTGTTATTAAGGATCGAAGAACGTAGGACCTTGTGTTTACGAGGCGAACCTTGTTGAGCGTTGTTGGGATGAAGTTGAATGGCTTGTGAATTGTAAGTCCTGCCAATTGGCGACGTATATATGGTCGCCGCCGGCCAATGTCGTCGTTGATTATCTGACGCCACACTCGACGACTTCGTAGACCCCTACAGAACCCCAGAGAGTTTCATCCTCTACTCAGTGGGTGGTAGTAAGCATTCGATTAATTTCCAAGTGTTGGGACTTCAACGGTTTCAAATCTGGTCACCTAATGACGCTAGTTTGAGGAACCAAAAGCTGTACAATCGTATTTGTATCTGCGAAAAGACAGCAGTCAATTAATTGAGTAATGGGGTGAGTGAGTGGCTGGACGTAACTGGTACAATCACTCGGGAGAGTGGTTTCCAAAGATAAGACATTGTGTGATAATCAACGACACAATGGAAGTATGGGTTATTAGATTTCACAAGGTGGGAATTGTTATTCGAAGAGAAGCAAGGTAGTTGACTGAAATCCACTTCACGATTGTGAAGAAGGTGGGAAAAGTTAGTAAAATGTACAAAAGGGACAA